CCCTAGGTTCTCTATTTATATACCACTCCATTCCACATTTTCCCTCCAGTTTTAAGCCTCCCACCTTTCAAATCTTTCACTTTTCTCAGTTCAAAGTAGGTCCTAACTGGGAGAAGTGCCCTCTGCCATGAGAAACAGGCCACTAGGTAAATGGCTACAAATACAGCATGCAGTCTCTTAAAACTTCACATGCTGCTGTTAAGAGAAGCAAACTTAGTGCCACATATGGAAATGCCTATACTTGAAAGCCCATACAAAGCAAAGGTTACATTTTTTTGTTGTTGTTAACTAACAAAAGGTGATAACTGATTTTCCAGAATCTGCATCTTTAAGGAAAAGGAACTCTAATGTACAACTTGGTTAGACTCCAGACACAAAAGGAAATGGGTTATAGCAGTTGTGACTGAGCAGAGCAGATGTTTTGGTTGGACTGACTATCAACCGTCTGACTCATAATAAATTGTCAGTTCCAGTAAATTCCCAGTTTTCAATTACAGTAGGTAGGATACGAGAAAACAATGCCTTTTAGATGGTGTACTTAAAGTGTTTTTGATAATTCTAATACACAGCCTATACTAACTTTATGAAAGAATGAAATACTTTGTAAAGGGAACAGCAGTAAACATTGAAGTTTGTTTTTCAGTGTAAATTTATTTTAACATGAATGAAAGCTAACAAAAATGTTTGTTTAAACAGTGCCAATTGATACAGTTAGAAGTAAGATTTTTAGTTTTGTCCTGAGCCTTGTAATACCTGGGGTCTTGAGCTTCTGAGGAAAAAAACATTTCCTTAATATCTTACAGCTACCCTTTCATCTATTCCGTGCTATATTTGTATTTTCACATGGCCTTTTGTTCCTGAGTTTTTAAAATGCATATTTAATGACCTATTCATCTGCATAGACTGGATATGAAGGGCAAAGTAGAATGAAAAATTGAAAGCTTAAAAAATGTTATTTTTTGTGGAATGTGCTATTTATTTTTGTAAGCTGTGATTAAACGGCCTCTGCAATAGAAAATACCTACGAGTTGAAAATCTTGTTTAGTTTCATTTTCTTTATTTGTCACTACTTTGCACTTTCATTAATTCTTTTGCAGTTCCACAGCAGCTTGGAGGCCTTAGTTAAAGATCAGTCTGTGCTGTGCAAAATACTCTATAAACAGAGAAGAAACCTTGCAATTCTTATAACAGAACACTGTTTTCTGTGTCTTTTCTTTGTTTGACTATATTAAATGAAAGAAGATTTTTAGAAGTAAGTGTACAATAGTAAGATCAGAGAAAGACATCCTGAAAACTCTAATTTGGATCTTTTATAATGTGCTGGGGTTTCTTTTGCTAGCAATCACGAGGCTTCTATGGGAATTCTATAGGTATTCATTATCACAAGATTAACTAATGCTTTCAAATATTTCTACAAACATTCAATTTTTAAACCTCAGAATTTCTGTGGCCCAGGATGTACTATTGTCCATTCTGCTGAAGTTCAGCATTAATAATACTTCTGTAAAGCTTTGAGTGGAAAATGTTCTATGGGTATAAAATTGTGCTTGGACTTAACAACTCCAAACTTGGATATTAATGTTTACATTAAATAGCCACTCTTAATTTGTATCTCAGCTATTTTTCATATATAATTTAAAATTATATGTTTTAATAAGTTTGTATGCTGTGTGTTAAATACATTTCAAAATTTTTATCATAACAGCTTAAATGTTAAAAATATATCGTGATTTGAGTTTGAAAACTCATTTTGTGGAAGAGTAATACTGAAGAAGCAGTGTTTTTTCTGAAGCATATTGGGGAAAAAAGTAAAAATAAAGGTGATTCTGATTTTTTTTTTTTTTTAATCTAATTTAATCTCTTTTTTGAGGGAAAAATACACCTACGGAAATTGGAAATACCAGATATTATCTTGTTAGAATGATAAGGAAGATAAAATCTTTGCTTTTGGATTCTTGAGGCAAAAGAAGGATATCAACCTCTCCTGGGAAAATGTAATTGCCTAGTAATACAAAGGTGCATCATGTTGCCTAGTCATGAACACACTTGTAGAGCTGACTGAGATATCACTGAAAGAGTTAAATTGTGACTGGCACAGACAACATCAGAAACGTCTATTAATATACAAGACTTTCCACAGTTTATCTCTAAGTCATGTGTTTTCCATTTAGTTTTGTAAACGACCATTGTAGCAGATATACTAAGGTTGAATACAGTTCTACAAAGCAGATCCTTGCATGAATAAAAGTAATAATGTGCATTCTGAAAGAAATACAGTACAGTGCCCAATATACAAGAACTTAATCATAAATCCGCATATATCTGTGGCCAGCTGAGCAACCAGGTTGACAAACGTCATAGGATTCATATTCATGGCCCTGTGTTTCTTTTAAAAACCTTAATGAGGTTCTGTACCCATTTGAAAACGAGTGGCTGTAGAAGAATGCCAGTTTCTTTGCTCACACTTGCATTGAACAGTAGCTATATGAACTGCTTGCAACGCAGTGCTGTGCTGACAGCAGTAGTTAAACTATTGTGTGTTATTTTTGTATAAGAAAAACGTTACGTGTCTCATGTTATTGTCTGTATTGCTGGCAGCAGCTTATTGCAGCTTAGCGTGCAAAGGTGTCATTTAGCAATCTCAGACTTTTTTGGAGAATTTTTGGAGTTTTTTTGCATTGCTGAGTGCAGGCATACAGTGTAATGGAAGTGTATGGGATCCTGGATGTTGTTCTAGTCTTTTTCACATGTCATTTGTACATGTTTATGCAATCTCTTTGATCATCGAGCACTTGGGTGGTATTCTAGAAGCTGGTTATACACCACAATGGCAAACTGCGTCTGAACAAAAACTGCGTCATCGTAAGCATTAATACTAAGTGTAAGATTAAAAACATTTGGTTGGGCCATGCAGCTTGTAAATAGCATGTATGCTTTTTTGTTATTTTCTACTAGAAGAAGTTATTTAAAAAGAATTTACAAGCAAAAAAATATGCCCTTGGAAGAACAGTACATATAAATGGTGAATGTGTTATCTGTATTTGTCATCACTTGGGGAATGCCTGTTAAAATCTCTAAATCTCTTAATCATTAGCATTACTTACATTGCTTAATGTTTTAGTACTTTTGAAAAATTAGCAAATTAATGGGGAAAAGGCTGTTATTGCCATACTTGGCTTCAGGAGTGAAAGCCGTGCCTTATTTATAAAATCTTATTAACCTGGAAAATAGACAAAATGGGAGAAGGTTGTCAAGATCGTACTCCTTGGATGTGCGTTTGCGTGTTGAAAAAGGGCTTTGTGATCTGTAACTTGGAAGCATACTTGTGTAGTTCCATACTTGCAACTTCTAAGTGCAATCTATGCACTTGGAAGCGTGATAGTGGAAGTAACATTATGGGTCATGAGGTTCTGTCCCTTGAAAGTATAGGCAACCATGTCRCATAATTTGATCCGTAAGCAAATCATACCTCACCAGGAAAACGTTTTTGTCCTCACTGGTCACGTGGGGTGTTGTCTCACAACTCAAGTGCTTGAATGTTTAAAGCCACAACCTGACTTGCAGTCTCTGTGTGTCCATGACTTTTATAGGTGTTTCTAGGTGAATACCTTTATTTTAGCCATCAGAACGGCTAAAAACACATTGTATCTCGTTTGTATCTCGTTTATCACATAAGGCAATCAGGCTTTTTTAAGACCCATTCTTCGCCACAGCTTATCACTAAGCTTTTGTGTTTTGCACATAATAGTTAATATGCAGCCAGTTTCTTTGGACATGAACCATTTCAGTCCTGCCAGAGCTTATAGTGGCACGAGATCGTCTTCCTGAAACCATTCAACAGTCGCCTTTTTTTTCATCTTTCTTTCCTTTTTGGCTTGGGCAGGATCTCCTAACAATGTGTAAGTGGTTTGCACGCTCCTTCCTCACAGCTGTGTGTGTGACAGAACCCATCAGGGCACATAGCACTGTGTTGATCCTGCTTTGAGTACATATCTGCTGGGTTATCTATTTCCTTTCACATTTTTCCAAAACGGATAAAAACAAATGCCTCTTGGCAAGTTGCTGTGTGCATATGCGGAGATGCATTGAAGGCTTGTGTTTGTGAGCTTTAAGTGGCACCATGCTTCTTGTCGTAAACAAAATCACTGTGCTGCTAACTCATCACTTTCTAACTAGAGGTCAAGAGCTGAAATGAGGTTGCGTGTAGCAGAAGTTCAGTTGTTTGTGCTATATGTGATTTATGAGTCGGAGAGATATCAGGTCATAAGCAGAAACCATTTGTTCTACCTGATCCCAAAATTATAGCTGGTGGTTGTGATACAAACAAGGCCCAAGCTGTGAATGTACTGAGGTTGCCTGTCATACTGTGCAGTGTGGATTCTTTTTGCAGTACTACTTATATTATGCACTCTTTTATGAAAATCATGCAGGGATTTTACATGCAGGAAGCTCAGGAACAATGACTTCCAGATAGAAATTTCCTACTGCAAGGATCTTCTCTGTTCCCAGCAGAAGTAGGAATTAAGTACACCAAAGTTTGGGCCATATACTGTTTTGAAAAAATATAAATATGAAAACTGAGTTTGTAATTGAGTGGTGTTATAACAAAAATGTTCTTTGGTGTTTTAGTTGTTGTGTTAAATCTAAAATTCTTAATAATGATATCTATACTTTTACTTAAAAGTGTRTTTCTGCCAGTGGAAGAAGAGATAAATGGCTGTACTCTTCCTGATGCAACAGCTTTATTTTGATATTTTAAAGGAAATTGAGCAGTTCATAATGTCTTCTAAGTACTAATAAAGCAAGAAAGGATATATTTCCAACCCCTTTTCAAATGGTCACACTTTGTAGTCTCTCCCTCAAGTGTCTCTTGAATTGGTATTTGATTATGGTTAGTTGTCTGTATTTGGCTGTGGATAGTTATTTGTAAGCTAAGGAGAATTCAGTTTGTTATCTGCCACTTTATATATATGAATTTTTTTTTGTGTGTGTGTGTACAGGATGTGAATGAAGATCCTGGAGAAGATGTTGCACTTCTTTCAGTTAGTTTTGAGGATGCAGAAGCTACTCAAGTTTTTCCTAAGCTATTTCTCTCCCCACGTATTGAACAGTAAGTAGTAGTTTGGTGGTGGGGTTTTCTTCTGTTTTCTGGATTGTTCTTTTTATTTCTTTTCTGAACTTTTTTTTTCAATTTTCTAAGAAATATTACGTCAGTGATAATGTCATATTACTTTCAGTTACTCAAAATCTTACTTGCAATGTGYGTTTGTGACTCTGTCACTTATGAATGAAGAAAAGTCATTGGAAACATTTAATATTCTTTGGCATACAGATCTAGGAAAACCACCCTGTCTTTTCCTGTATTCTGAATTTCCTATATTTCCTATATTCTGAATGCTTTCTCAGCACCCATAGGAGTATTTAATGTAAGTGCTTTAAGTGGGGGCTTTTTTTTTTTCACTTTTTAGAGGTTATATTATACATATGTATAGGTAAGTGACATTTTTGAATAGAAAGTTGCTGCAAGAGCCAAGAGGCTTTATTAACTGTTTTTAGAAATTGCTGCTTTGGTAACTTAGTTTTTCTAGAATCTCGGTATTCTGTTTTAATATCCTTGCACTATACACTTGGCAAACAGATTTGCTAATAAACTAATTTTTACTCCTAAAATGGAAGGGTCAGGATGAGAAATCTGCCTGCTTTCATTAGATCTGTCTTCTTCCATTTCTGGAATTAAGAATGTCCCAGTGCTCCTCCTCTCCTTCAGTATTTTAGTTTTATAGTTACTTCAATGTGCTATCACAGTGGCTTCAAGATTTCAAGTGACTTTTCTGTAGGGATAAGTAGGAAGTTGCTATAGTGTAAGGCTGCCTTTTGCATCACATTGCACCATACCCAATTATGGAGCTTTCTATGTTTAATATCTCAAAGAGAGCTTCTAGAATTCATAACATTCTTAATGAGAAATATTGAGATTTGTTGTTGTTGTCGTTTTTATGTGGGAAAGGGTGAAATATTTGCCCAAATAGAATTCTGGAATATATACTGAGGAAATCTGGGCTGTTGAGCTATAAAAATTTATTTGATATTCTTAAAAAAAACGAGGCAATTATGTTTTGCTGCTTAATATTTGTTTCTTATATTACTGCAAAAAAAAGTAACTGAATTAGACTTTTTGAGTATCCAGCAATCAAGTTAAGCTAACATTAATTTCAGTGATGCTTTGTTTTTCTGGTCAATACCACAATGACTTCCCTTGAACTGGTGAAAACACTTCTTGGTAAAGAAGAAAAGACAGAAAACTGCTGACTTCCACAGCTTTATGGTATCTCAGTAGTAATGCCTAGTGTGAGTAAAAGGACACGATATTGTGGTATTTTTATCGAAATTGGTCTGGATAAATTGAAAGATGCAATTTAAGAAAGAAAAAGAAATAAGACAAAGGTTAGGTTTATTTAAGAAAATGTAGGTTACACACACAGGCAAATAGTACATAGGGGAAAATTATTCTTCTACTCAGCTGCTAGTAAATAGGAATGGACTGTCACTAGTTTCCATAGTATTTTCAGTTCTAGTCACGTGTTGATTCTTAACTGTACTTCCGATCTTCCAGGTATATCTAAGTGGCCCATATGCTAATGAATACATTACGTAATTTCCCCTTTCCAATAGCATTTTAAAAAAATATTAGCAGCTTGAGACCAATATGGTGTCAATAGAAGAGCATTCTTTGTTTTCCTAAAAATGGCAAATTTCCTTTCATTACTCTAAAGTATATCTGACTTTAAATGTATGAGGTGGAGGCAACACCCCAAAGTGATGTGAGATTCCTGACGTAACTCATTCATTGCTTTGTCACGTATAGTCATGTTAAAATCATTCCAGTAAACCCTGAAGTTCAATATCGTAACTTTTCATGCTCTCTCTGTATCAACAGTAAGATAATGCAATCAGAAAGCATAGATCTACCTGATTCTGTCCTCGTGTGTCCTTTGYATGGTGTTCATCACGGGTTACAGACACCGGCAATCTGTAACGTACCTAAGGGTTGAGAGAGGGAGCAAAAGCAAGAGTTGAGCAAGCAGTGATGATTTGGGTTTCCTTTGTTAACTGTTTAGAGTAACCTACCTCAGTGTTGCTTTAATCAACCTCTCTTGTTTTATCACATAATTCTCCTCTTTTCAGTGTGTGTAGGTTTCCTTAATTTGAACTATGATTCTTCCTTCATTGTACTGGCTACTCATCATGGAGTGTTAGAAAACTTGCAATTAGATTGTTAATACTTGTTTGCCTGAGTTTTAATTTCAAAGAGCTATTTGCCACTTGTTTGTTCCCCACATGTCTCTTCTGTTTAGCTGGGTCTGACAGTCTAGATTTTTAACTTCCAGTGTTTGGGAACTGAAGCAACAATGCATTCTTCTTTATATTTTTTGCCAAAAGTACAAAAAGCCTCATGAAGCCCTAAGGATTAGCTTAAAGGCATGAGGCCATGGCACATTACGTTTGGATTGTGTTCTGCTGTAAAAGTTCTTTCCTTTTGCTAACAGTAATTGCATCTACAAAAGCCATATAAGCAAATTACCAGTGTATTTTCTATGCAGCAGATTTCAAGGTGGAGTAAGTAATAACTGACAGTTTCTCACATCACATTCCACAGTATATGATAAAACAGGAAAAAAATATCAAATTTCCACAATTATTCTGTTAGTATTAATTCTCTTCACCTTAGGAAGAATGAGCAAATGAGTATGAAAGTTTTTTTTCAAATACAAGTGTTTCAGCTTTGGAGAGAAGTAAAAGATCTGTTTGTGTAGATGAATTATCCCCAACTTTCTCAAGAGGTTCATTGCTTTTGTGCTCTGCCATATAGACACACGTTCCCACATTGCGTTTTCTAAAAATATGTTGCTTACCCACAGATCTAGTCAGCGAATTTGAACCCTCGCAATATGAATATCATGGTTTTGCTTTGGGTTGTTGTTGTTAAGCACATTTGGTCTATTTTTAGGTGTATGGTAGACTTAACRCCAGTAGGACTTTGAGTGCTCTATGCATTTTGGTATAGACTCCAAAAGGAATTCACAAAATCGAGGAAATACACGCTTTTAATAGTTTGGGATAAAGTCCTGCTAGGTTGGGATAAAGACAGTGAGGTTGAAGAAGTCCCATGTTAAGGAAGAATTCAGAAGTGCAGCAGCGAAGGCTTTGCCTCACTCAGGTCAGTGTCAGCGTTTCAGTGACTTCCCTGATGTAACGTCTGGCTGCAAGTGTTAAGTGCAGTTATTACAGTTTATATAAGGCATTTATGTTGATATAAGAAGAAGAAAAAAAAACTCATTGAAATTAATCATCGTTCTATAAGATTTGATTTTTTTTATTGAAACTTTTTAATTTGGAACATGTCTTTTGCTAAAAGTTGTTTGTCCAAAATATATTTGGGGCAGCAAATTCTAGTTAATGTTACCTTAATTTGGACCTGACCGTTTAATAAAACACTTTCCTTTTGTATTTTTTTATAAATTCCTCACGCTCTTTGTTGTATTGCATCAATAAACAGATGCAGTGCCAGCAGCTTGGTCATCTTAATGGTCTTAACGATTGTCAAAATGGGTTCAAGTCGAAATGAAACATGATCATAGAATCATAGAATGCCGAAGGTTGGAAGGGACCTCAGAGGTCATCGAGTCCAACCCCCCTGCTCATGCAGGGTCACCTAGAGCACGTGGCACAGGGCTGCATCCAAGCGGGTTTTAAAGATCTCCAGAGAAGGAGACTCCACAACCTCTCTGGGCAGCCTGTTCCAGTGCTTTGTCACCCTCACAGTGAAGAAATGCWYCCTTAAGTTCCTRTGGAACTTCCGATGCTTCAGTTTGAAGCCATTTCCTCTAGTCCTATCACTGTCCACCACTGAAAAGAGGCCACCCCCTCCTCCTCACTGCCTCCCTTGAGGTATTTATACACGCTGATCAGGTTCCCCCTCAGCCTCCTCTTCTCCAGGCTGAACAGGCCCAGCTCYCTCAGCCTTTGCTCAYAGGGCAGATGTTCCAGGCCCCTGATCATCCTGGTAGCCCTGCGCTGGACTCTCTCCAGCAGCTCCACATCCCTCTTGTACTGGGGAGCCCAGAACTGGACATATTTGTGCCRTATTTGCCATATGCCATATTTGTGACAAGCAGTTTGCACAGAAGCGATTGCCATGAGAAAAGCTAGTTTCCACACGGAAACGGTGAGCTGGGAAGCCCCTCAGACTGACCACCTGCCATGGCAGAAGATGTTGGTTGAGTGTGTCCATGAACGTGGGTCTCCAGCTAGTCCTGCTGCACCTTCCACCTAGGGATAAGCAGCCAGTCACAGGTTTCTCCCCAGCTGATGATTGACTTTGGGGACAGGCTCTATAGATATCTGTATGAAAGAAAGTTTTTTTWAAAAAAATCTGTCATGTTTTGCTTTTTTTTTTTTTAAAGTTACCAGACTCTAAATCAACTGAACCACTAATTTCTGTACTAATACTTGAAATGCCTTGACAAAACTTAGAAATGTTCTTTAAAAAAAAATGTATTTTATGTTTTTGTCTTCAGTGTTTTTGGTAAAGAAAATAAAAATTGCTCTATCTTGGTTCACATTTAAAAAAAAAAAGAAAAAGAAGGGTAGAAGTACTGTTGCTCAGTTAATGCTGTGTTCCCTGGTTTCACCGAAATAATCCTTTAATAAACACTGTTGTCCTGGAGGGCTTTTCTCTGATATATATGCAGACGTGAATATGCTAAGAAAACCAGCTGTCAGTAGAACTTGTTTTGCTTTAATGGCTGAGGCTCCATGCTTAGAGACTGAAATGGTAATTTTTTTTTACTGCTCTGGGAGCTGTGCCAGAGGGCTCTTCGTGACTGCGGATGGAATTCCAAGTTTGGTGACTGCGCTTAACCTTTCATATGGGCAGAGGAAAATCATGAGAACCTAGTCTTAACTTCTAGACTTTAAATGTTTCCTTCTCTTTTTTCACTGAGGAGAGAAAAATGAAGAGAACATTTTGTTTAAAAAAAGTATTTATTTGCTTTAAGATGGTGGCTCTTAAAGCCATTTGGCTCACCTTTTCTGTGTCTTTTTCTCAGT